CAGAATGACAAGAAGACGTCTATCTCTGGAATCTCTCGAGCTGATTCGCCAACGTGGAGCCGCACGAGCCGCAGGCCATTACCAGCTGACGTCTGAGCTTGCGAAGCTATGCAGAGAAAGCGATAAAGGAAGATCCAAGGCGGAGAGGCGCAGTACTAGGTGGAAGCCCCCGAAGCTGGGAAGAGCGTACGCAACGCCCGCCGGCGACTTTGCCAACTGTTAAGACTAGATGACCGCCCTCCGACGTCCGGAGGAACAATCCCGCCATCCAGAAGGCGGCAATGCGAGAAGCGCCATCACGACTTCTACTCGGACTCTCTTTGACAGCCACGTCCACCTGCAACCATTACGCTTGGAAGCAGGTATGGATTATGTCGTTCCTGCAGTTCTCTCTCCGAAGTCCGACACGCCATCTCGTCGCGTGAGAATCGTACGGCCAACCCGCCCCGACAGGATCAGACCGAACATCTGAAGAATCTTCCGCAGTCCCCGTCAAAACTCTGGCTCGACTCTTCACGCGCTACCTGTCGAATGCAGTGGTACCACTTCGTGGAAAACCAGCAGACTGTGTTGCTGTACAAGAAGGGAGATCTGTACGGACATAGGCCATATTTCGCCCAATCTGCCTGCTGTCTGTAGTCTACAAACTCTTCACACGAGTCATCCTGAATAGGATGCCAGAGCCTAGACGAAGCAAGCCATGCGAGCAAGCAGAATTTCGAAGAGGATTCAGCACGATCGATCATATCTCACCACCGGTAACGAAGCTCATCGAAGTATCGCGAGAGTACAAGATGCCGTTATGTCTCACGTTATCGACTTGAAGAAAGGCCTTCGACTCCGTTGAGACAGAAGCGGTGTATCGAAGCCTGGGCAACCGAGGTACTTCCCTACTCAGTACATCAGGATTCTTCGTGAGCTCTACAGCAATTCACGACCAAGATGTTTCACCATTCTCACAGGAGATCCATCATTGATGTGAGAAGAGGAGCTCCGACAGGGCGACACCATCTCGCCCAAGCTCATCAGCGCCTCTCTCGAGAACGTCATGCGTCAACTGGAATGGAAGACATGGGAGTGAAGATCGGTCGGCAAGCTACACCATCTCCGCTTTGCTGACGACCATCGTTTTCATACGCCCACCGCGCAAGACCGGACATCGAATGCTGGCTGAATGTCTACTGCGCTGTGGAAGATCGGTCTACGACTGAACCTAACGAAGACTGGTTCCTGAGAAATGGATTGGTAGCCCTGATGCCCCATTCACGCTCAACGGAACGACCATCTCTTAATGCTCTCCCTATGTGTACCTAGGTCGCGAAATCGATATGATGAATGACCTAGCTCCAGAGCTTGGCCAGGAGACCGAGCGGCTTGGGAGAGCCTTCACAGGACATCGATGGGAGTAAGACGAGAGACGAGAACACCAAGCATCCGTGCCCACCTCTTCGATTCGACGGTCCTTCCGCCTTGACGTACGCCTCAGAGACTTGGACTCTACGAAAGCAGGATGAAATCAGGCGTCGGTGTTATCAACGCGCCATCGAAAGAGGCGGTGCTCGGAGTTTCCCGCTACACGCAAGTCGATGAGGCGGAATCCGAGCTCCGCACTCCGCCAACGATCGAAGATCAGAGACGCCGCCGCATTTGCCAAGGTTTCGAAGATCAGGTGGGCTGGACACGTCATGCGTTCCGAGGACGACCGCTGGACCAGAGCTGTCACCGACTGGATTCCACGGGATGTCAAGCGAACGCCTGGAGGACTGCCTACGTGATGGTCAGACTTCTTCGTGGAAAGCTCTGAAACGGAACGGTATGAATGGTACATCGTTACATGTCCGCTCGAGCTGAAATGAGTTATATGGGCAAGCTCTTGCACGTTGCGGGACGAATCGAGACGCCTTACTGGCGCCTGCTCACGAACCAAAAAGAAAAAAATAAAAGAAAAAAAAAAATAAGAAATCAAAACAAGAAAGAAAAAAAAAAAAAAAGAAAGCAAAAACAGGTGATACAGGTGCTACAGTTAGGTTCAGCTAAGCTGAAGAAAAATCGTCAGAGGCGCTCCACATCCAGGATGAACCCGAAGGAGAACTCGATGTTCCACTCACACCTCGATACATCGGGGTCAGTTTTATTTAAATGTGCAACCGCACGAAGCGATCGGATGGTGACGAGGCGGTGGCCGTAATTTGAGTGGCCCAAACAGATGCTTCCCGGCCACGGTAACATCAGGATAAGTGAAGAAGCAAGGTTGCCATATATGATATCGGATGTGATTTGATATATCTGGGTCGTATTTGGCTGCTCTGGGGAGGGGTTCGTACTCGGCATTAGTCTCGAGAAGAATGTCTTCAGATGGATTCTTCTTCAATTCTGGCACCACCAAAGACCCCCCCTCCCCTCCTTTCCGCTCAACGATAAAATTTATCGGAAAATTTTGTAAGAATTCAGCTGCATTTGGTAAGATAGTAGGTTGACTGTGAAAGGGAGAAATTTGTGGGGGACAGTTCGGGTTTGTTGTTAGTGTAGTTTTCATATTCATTTCTAACCTCAATATATAGATATGGTAAGTTCTTTCTGCCTTCTTCTATTTGTCTTATGCCGCTTCCCAAAAGAGCAATTACTGTCCTACATCTTTCTTAGGTTTCCTAATCTACTTCGAAATATTCTACAGATTTAACGTAGTCGTTGCACCGAAGAACTAAGTTTTTAGCGTCTTAGCGGCAAAAACTATGGGTTGCTTATAAAGTAAAGCGCCATTATATTTAAAGGTGTTTTAGTTAGATGAATTTATTATAAATTTGGTGAGCATCGCGTTCGATTCTTTACTACTGCCACGGTCTATCTAAAAACTTTTGAGCGAGGCACCAAAAGAAATGTGGTGGTCCAGGGGTTTCGTATATGCCCCAAAGGATAAGCAGCGAGATATAATAGCAATCTATATAATATCTTTATTATGTGTATGAGATGAACCTACGTCTTGATTGCGACGGTTGTTGAACGAGGAACGGTGAGCAAATGGGCGTCTTACTGGGGACGTTGAACTGGGGGTAAATATAGCAGACTGAGGGAGCGGACCATTGATACCATGAGTCTGTCATGCCAGTACTTAAGGGCCCACGCTGAGAGAGGTTCTAGCTCGAGACGTGGAGAGAGGGAGATAGGTCGGGATCGTCGTCCCAGACGACGATAGTGGCACTATTTTCATAACTGTAGAACCCCAAGCGATGGCAGCAGCGTTGCGTAATGAGGAATGCCGTGTGCGTTCACGGGACCTGCACTTTTCATTTTACGAGCGAAATTGTGTAGTGTATGCTCCTGTTAGCCTTATTGTTAATGTCTCTGAGCGTCATCGAAAACGAGTTAAGGGCAGAGCTTCGGTAAATCTGGTGCAGGCACGTTGCGGTCTGCTTGCATGGTGTGACCAGCGGCTTTCAACAGAACTTTTCTTTCGCACAAGCGCAGACCTCGATAATTCGAGAATGTTCTACATCGGGGTCAATGATGTCACAGGTGCAGTATTGCTTAGCGAAACGAATAGCGACCCATTTATACCATTTTCACTTTAAATCGGACACTTTTCAAACCAGAACGGACACTTTTCGAATCAAATCAGACAGACCCCTTACAATGGGCAATTGAGAACTAGACCACACTAGGTACTGCCGCAAGCCCCGCTCAAACACCCCGCCCACTTCTTATCGCGGCCGTGGTTTTTCAAATGTTTAATGAATTCTGCTTCTTCAAATTTTTTTCACTTTTGCTACTTGACACACCCACTCAACTGAATAAGTTTGCCACCGACACATATGTGACTCTGCCCACTTCACAATGGAGTGACGTGAGTTCTGAGTTTTTATAACTTTTTTCGTTGTTGTTTTCTTTCATGTTCACATTCAATCTTCACAAAACGAATAGCCATGCATTTTCACACTAGAACACTGAGCCCAGCTCCTCTGACCACACACACTTTCGTTTTTCTCGGAATTTTGATTTTTCTTTCGAATTTTCATTTTTTAGGCTGTGACAAGCTGCCCATTAATGGAAGCTTCGCCCACTTTGTGGAAGCCCCGCCCGCTTTTCAAAAAGGAAGCATATCGGCGAGCTAGTGACCGTACTAGCAGGTTATGGCCTCTCCCTTTTCCGGCCTTTCCCTTTTTTCATTCTATGTGACGGGAGAGGCCATAACCTGCTAGTACGGTCACTAGCTCGCCGATCTGCATCATTTTTGAAAAGCGGGCGGGGGCTTCTACAAAGTGGGCGGATTCAGGACTTCCATTAGTGGGCGGGGCCACTTGTCACAGCCTAAAGAAGTGAAAATTCGGAAGAAAAATCAAAATTCCGCGAAAAACGAAAGTGGGTGTGGTCAGAGGGGCGGGGCTTAATGTGTAAATGCATGGCTATATTCGTTTTGTGAAGATTGAATGTGAAAAAACAACGTCAAAAAAGTTATAAACATTCAGAACTAACGTCACTTCATTGTGAACTGGGCGGAGTCATATATGTGTCGGTAGCAAACTCATTCAGTTAAATGTGTGTGTCAAGTAGCAAAAGTGAAAAAAATTTGAAGAAGCAGAATCGATAAAACATTTGGAAAACCACGGCCGCGATAAGAAGTGGGCGCGGGTGTTGGGGCGGGGCTTGCAGCAGTACCTAGTGTGGTCTAGTTCTCAACTGCCGATTGTAAGGGGTGTGTCTGATTTGATTTGAAAAGTATCCGATTTGATTTAAAAGTGTCTTTTTGATTTGATAAGTGCCCTTTTTGATTTGAAAAGTGTCCGATTCGGTTTGAAAAGTGTCCGATTTAAGGTTAAAATGGTATATAACGACTTTGAGCCTCGGGGCCTTCATCCCATTCTAACAAGAAAGCATGAGTCAGAATGAAAAAGGAAATTACCTGGTCATCAAGCTCATATACTCCATGTGTCAACGCTTGATCACAGTCGCCCTCGAAGTAGAACGCAGCGATTTCGTCCGATTTCAGCGTGAATTTTTTTGGACTAGCCGTTTTCCATAGAGCATCCGTGCCTTGAATAAGAAATTGAAGTTGAACGTTCTTCGTCCGACTTTCTTACGGTTCTTGAACACCGTAAGAAAGTCGGACGAAGAACTCACTCACTGGTTTGCATTCCACCTTATTCTGTCTGGAATTATCGAAGAGGATTATAGCTACCCCATCAAAAGCCTTTATCATTTCACTGAAGCCTGGGATTAAAGTAACTAGCAGGTTGAGACGAGACACCCACAGTACCGCAGTTTTCGAGAACGGGGTGTTCAGAAAGTGAAAAGAGCGATTAAATTAGGAGCAATCCCATGTTGCGCGCATTTTCTTATAGTTGCGGGAGGATTTTCAAATTGCGCACAGGAAATTATCTTTGCAATTGAGATATGTTTTGGAACGAACTATTCCCAACGGATTCTTCGTGAGTCCGAAGTGCCGTGCCCTATTTGGAACAGTATTCTTACCCCTTAGACGAGTCCGTTACCAAAGCACAGACCCAAAAGCCTTGACTGATCCACGCTGGAGCCGAGGCGGGGCTTCGCATCAATTCCGTGCACGTAAGGAGTGAGGTCACTTCTCATAACACCACCGCCGCCGTATTATTTTGTCAATATTATTGAATTATATATAAAGAATGATAACGAGATATTGCTTCGTGGAGCTACTATTGCTGCTTCGAGGTTGAATGAGATAAATGGTCAGAAAGGCGCTTGCTTTTCTTGCTTCGAGTTTTTTGGCGCGGTAAGATTCGAGCGCTTTTTTCTTCTTTTTGTAACACCACCTATTCAATAAGGCTTTTGCCTCGCCTCATGGCGAACAGGAGGAGTGCCTCAAAGGAGGAGTAAGACCAGTTGAAAGAATGACAAAGAAGGCAATGCAATCAAGGGAGGTCGTTCGGAAAGTGGAGAAAAGGGTGTGTGCGATTCCAGCGTCAAATCCACACTCGTCCTTCGTCACACCACTGGTGCTCTTTTGTGATTCCCCTATTCCTTCATCGAGTGGGCATTCTGCCCAAATTTCATCTCAGGAGTAGTGGAACCCCTGAAGACAAATATCACATCCACTTGGAGCTGGCATGACCGGCTCCAACAGCGCATGTACTAGCCATTCCGCACTGGTCAGATGCCGTATTCGTGTACAGAGGGTGAGACTGCCACCCTACTCTCCTCGCCACAATATCCTCGCCAAATCTACTATCTAAAAAAGGAGAACTGTTAATCAAAATCTGGTCTGAATATTGAGAAGAGGGGGGCAGAGTAACAAACAATGAAAACTACCAGATTACTTCTACAGCAGCGCGCTACGTTCGGTCACCACCACTGTAATGCGATGCGTAGTCGCGCCAAATACATCACTGCAAATAAGTGGAAAACCAAAAGTTTTCTCACCACAAATCCACACTCCGTGATCACAGCTCATCGCCAACTCGTTCAGATTACGAATTGTGTGAACTACTGGATAGTCTGGTACGATCCAAGGGCATTCAGCGAATTTCAAGGAAGGCAGGAAACCAGCACCCATAGGCAGAGATTCCTTGGATTCCCCCTGCAAGAAGTTCTCGATTTCCACTTAGTGATCATCATTTAAAAAAGGACTCACCAGTAGGAGAATAAGGATCTTCGATTTCTCCAGCAGTGATTCATTTAGAACAGAAAGCCCACGCTGTGCACAGAGATGTTCCACCTACGAAGGAAATCTTTGTGGTGGCAAAATGGAAGGAATGTAGTTCAGATTAACGATTACGGTGTTCAGTAGAGCATTGAGGGCACTTCCAGCCGAGCCGATGTCATCACAGGGATCCCCGACGATCAACAGTGAAGTAGTCTCGAACAGGCCACAGTTTTGGAGGAACTGCATCTCTGTAAATTCAGAGCTGCGAATTTCTAGCAATTCAGTTATTCTTGAGAAACCTCGAAGGCAACAGGAGGTTTCGACCATATAATTATTGGCTGTACCTGTAGGGTCAAAACACCTAGCAGAAAGGGAAGCCACCTGCCTGGGCAGGCGATGAGGCAAAGCCGAGTCATTTACAGTGACGGACTATAGAGAAGAATCGACAAGACATTGCTCAATAGAAGGGTCTCTTGCCCTCAGCAAGCCCGCCTAAGATTCGTCATCAAGCGTTCGTTCATGCAGCCGTACCTACCAAAAGCGAGTCTTCCCTTGGCACAATGCCAAAGGAAGACTCGTCTGATCACAAATATGTGGGGTTGGCTGTCTGCATGCACAATCGAGCAGAACAGAGGCATTCTCGCCAGTTCTTCATCTTTCCACTTTATTTTTGTGTCGCCCTCCCTGTTTGCAGCACCTTGGAATTTTAGATTGACACCGAATTTTCGTGCTTCACTAATTTGAGATGAGGAGAATAATGGCTTAGTAGAGAGCCGAACAGCAGAGACGACAACTTTTTCCTCCCGTTTTTCTCCGTAAGAAGACATCGGCGGGGCGTGCTGTAGACGAACAACACCGACTGTAATGATCCAGCTCTATTTCGAAAATATGCCGCTTCACGCTCGCACATGGCTGCGATCACTAAATTTGAACTTCTCTACGCTCGGCACTATGGACTTTGAATAAGACGCTTGAGGTATAGCGCGAAAAGCGTGAGGCATGGTCTCTATGCCCGCTTTAGGTCATGTCTTGTGTCAATAGATCAGCATTCATGATCCCCGCAATCGATAGGGCATGTGGCGGGTATGGAATGGAGCGCTGCCAAGGTGGCCTTTCCATGGGACTTGCCATGGTGATAGAGTGTGGGAAGGCTGTTTTGGCTGCGGTTCCATTCTTCACACGCTTTGCGTTCGAGAGATCATGACTATACCTTCCGCAAAGTTCCCTCTCGTGGCTTCCTCCATTTATCTAGTCAGGTTGAGGAGATATTTCCAATTATGGCTGGGGAATATTGAAAAGAGTCGAAACTTCGGTACTTTCTCTTTTTTCGTTATATAATGGATTTTTCTCCCAAGGAAGTTCTCAAGTGTCTTGGCCATACACTGCTACTTTTGCCAAAAAGTCATCGCTACGGAGAGGTTTTCATTGAAATGATCGATAGGATCCGCTCATACCCTATTTCTATCTTCTGTTGTCAACGAGTCTTTTCCGGTTGGGAGTTAGGAATTGTGAAGGGAGTGCTGAAGTTGGACGTTGACCTTCAACGGATTCATAGACTAGCCAGTAGTGAGTAGGCAGAATCCGTGCTGAATGGCCACTTTCCCTCATCGCCGCAGGGCCGCCTATATAACTGAGAGCAGCGACTTGGACGAGCAAATCGCGCTGCTTGGGGAACGTGCTACTACGGCCGAAGCGCGCTGCATCGCCACACGCGGAAGCTTTAGAAAGGAGTCTTGTTGATTAGATTAGCACTAGCTGCGTCTAAGGAGTAGCAGTTCGCCACGGTTGGTCGCATGGGCAGTTTTCTGATCGCGCGATTGGGTCACTCTAGGTGCGAATTGTAAACGCAGCAACTTCCGATACTAATAATTCTGGTTACCGTTTACTGATGCTTTTGTTCGGCTTCAACCGTGCGGATGAATAGCTCACCTCTTTCAACGTCTTCCACACTCTGATCTGAGCGAATCGAAACAGCAACTGTGTCCCATTTCATGATGACTCTTTCATTAGCTAAACCAAGAAGTAGTGACGCGGAATGCTCCGTTCTCGAAGCTTTTCGGAGCAATGTTTACCTTGAATAGCAGGAAACAACCAAGTATGTTTCGAATAAGCAGAAATGTTATATCTATCAAAAGAGGCGCCATCGCAGTTGGGGAGAGGCAGAGGGGGACTTCTCAGCAGTGCCTCTGTGCTTCTTCCCCTGATCGGGACTCGCGTTTAGTGAAGCCTATGTCTACTCTGCGAGATCGTGTCTCAGTGACTTCCTCCGCTACGCTTTTAAGACAGCTCCCACGATAAAAGTGTCATGGATAGTTGGTTTTCAATTATGAAACAGTAGCTGATAAGTAATTCCCCAAAGAAGAAAAAACAAGAAGAGTTCTTAAAAACACCATAAACAAAATCGCTCCCTGACAGTCACACCTCCCTGCGGTCTCTGTGCAACCTGTGGCTCACAAATCCCTTTATCACATCTCCAGGAGCGGAAATCATCTAATGCAAAGAAAAGAATACGAAAAACAACAAAAACACGTAAGAAAAACTTCTAGAAGTCGTAGTCCGAATTTAGAATACGGTAGCGTGCCTCTTTTAGTGTTATAGTGCGTCAAGCCTTTGCACCGAAAATTGGGTCGCTCGTGATTTTTACGCGTTTATCCTTGCGAGATGGGTTCGAGTTGACTGTATATGCTGCTAATGTATAAAATGAATTGAAGGAAAGCAGAATCATTCATGGGCACGAGCGCGGTCAGCAAAAAAGCATGCGTTCCCGATTAATGTCTGCCGCCCAACAAACAACAACTGAGCGGCCCTCCTCAGAGGGCATCTAGCAAGTGAGGCGGTACAACTGAGCGGGCGTTAGAACTAGAAATTTCAGCGGCTGTAGCTCGCTTCTCGCTCGCTGTCGAGTTGCGTGAGGGGGATAGTTTCTAGCTTGGGGGCTGCACAAGGAAGGACGGCCATGTACTACTTGATTGCGCGGGCCTGTCCTTAAGCAAAGCGTATAGGTCAGAAGAAGTAACATGGGTGCGCGTCTGTACCCTTCAACCATAGCTTGCATAGGAGACCGGGATTACACAAGCGGGGTCGATTGACGCCCCTCCTCTCAATTCAGCCAGCCCTGCAACTTGCGCCTATTCTCTTAAGAATTCTAATGGCAGTTCGCTTGGGGGGGGGGGGTTAGTTATGATCATCATACTAAGTTGAAGTTGTTACAGGCTACCACTGAAACCTGTGAATTTCCGTAACCAGTAGGTCACTTGCACCTTTCCAGTTTCACAAGAGCTTAGAATGTGCCGATTTCGTTTTGGTGACACCTGTTACTTGAAGGCAGTGGACACGATGGCTGGAGCGGGCGATTCCTACCGACGTCACTGTGCAAGGGCTGCGAGTGGGCATCTGTGGCCACATCCCACAGGATGTGGCTCAAACGGCTTGAAGACAGCTCCCGCGATAAAAGTGTCAAGTATAATTGCTGATCAATTATGAAATGGTAGCTGATAAGTAATTCCTCAGTGAAGGAAAAAAGAAACAAGAGCCCTCAAGGACACCATAAACATAATCGCGCCCTGACAGTCACACCTCCCTGCGGTCTCTGTGCAAGCCCTGGCTCACAAATCACTTTGTCACATCTCCCAGTAGTGGATATCATCGAATGGGAAGAAAAGAAAACAAAAAACAACAGAAACATGGAGGAATAACTCTTGAAAAGGAAAGGAAACAATTAAAAAGCCGGCGTTCGAACGTAGGGATACGGTAGCAAGCATGTTTTAGTGTAATGAAGTGCGTCGAGCTTTTGCACCACAGAGTACCTTACGAAACGGGTTGCTGTTGACTGTACGTCTCCCAATGAATAAAATGTGATGAAGGAGAGCAGAATTATCTACGAGCACGAGCGCGGTCAGTAAAAAGTACATGCAGTTCCGATTAATGACTGCGGATGGTTGGTCATTGACACGCCCAACCATCCGCAGCGAAGCAAAGTACGTCAAGAAACAAGGCCAACTTCGTTTATAGTGGTCACGTAGCCCGAAGCGCTCAAGCACCTCACCTATCACGGATAGCGATTTTGCGGCTCCACCTCTTGGGAGGAAGGAAGGGTATAAGAAGGGAGAGTGCGAAAAAAATAGTATAGCCGATTAGAAAGAAATTCTCCATAGCGAAGTACAACCATCTTTCTTCAGCGGCCAAGTAGCAGCCTCTGTTGTGTCTAATAGACTGGATTGTGAGCTTGCCGATAAGTCACAAGGTTCGGGATATAATCAAAACTATTAACGACGTAGTGTAACCAAATATTGATACTACTCGAGGCCAGTATTCAGATAGAGAGAGCGACAGTATTTCTATTTGTTGTTCCGGAGCAGTACGCTCCATATCGAAGACAAGTGGGTGTGACAGGGCACTTCACTTTAATTTGATGGGGTATCGTCGTTCAGGGAGACTGTATTTTTTTTCGTACTCGGTGGGTGTGACAGGGCACTTTACATTAATTTGATGGCGCCTGCGCTCCTGATGAGGTGTCGTCGTTCAGGAAGACTGTATTTTTTTTCTTTGCTCAGAGCTTGACAGGATGACATGTACAAAATTGGAAATTGAAAGTTACTCAATTGGAAATAACACACAGGAAACGCATACCAGGCCGTGTTCAAACTAGTGGGCGGCCACGCCCTCTCCTTCTTTGGGGTATAAGTACAGTGTAAGTACAAGAGAATGAACACAATAATCCAGTAAGACAGTTTTTATTGAAACGCTGCAACTTCTACACAATAGGCATTGGGTGGAACCAGCTCACGCCAGCAAAACGACTGCGTGGCTGGGAGGTCGCGTTCCACCGCAATCAACCAAACGTTGCCAATCCGCAGCGACCGATTTCATAACAGGTGGTTCTATAGATGATGGTCAGTCAAAAGATTTATCGTTCATCTGAGCTCATATTCAAACACTCCTGGGTTACATGATGGTAGCGACATGCATGACGCATTTCAAAGTATTTATCAAATAACATCGAACGTCAAACGTTTATTGCGGTGTTCATGCGCTCCGTGGCCACTCAAAACTATTCTGGTGTTATTTCCTTGCGTATTATTGCCCACTATGTTGACAGAAATTTACAAAAAAGTCCCCTCCCTCCACGCAGGTAGTCAACGCCTAACGTCAATAAACTGCGGCAGTCTAGATGCATGAAATAAAGAGCACAGATACATGGGGGATGTCACTGAAAGAAAATCCGGTCCTTTACAGCTTTGAGAGAACTAATTTGCCCGCATTCTAAAATGGCTTGTCAAGTGTTATACTTAATACTATGCGAGAATTGAATTCATAGGTGACCAGCAGCTGTGGCAACGGCCGAACGAGGAATCGATAGCACGGGCGATGTCCAGCGCGAGAGAGTGGGAGCTGATCGCCGCCAACCGATTCGTCGAAGAAGCATAACTTCAGCACTGTTCGGGATTTTCAGACGCAAGAAAGCTCTATCCAAAAGGTAAGCATTCCTGTTCCAAGGTTATGTAAGCCGTCTAGATTCAGTTCTATGTCATGTGATAGTAAAACGCAGAGGAACCTTGACTTCATTATTTGGCATCATGTGTGCTCAAGTCATTAAGAAATAGAACCAAGATGATTAGGGGAGTACTATGGAGCATGGGGTGCGTTAATACAGTGACGATAATTCCGAGAAAACAGCGCGTGGGGCAAGGGCGCTTTTCCGCTTGCGTCAGTTACGAGCCGCTTTTGGTTTTTTGCACTTTTCCCCCCATACAATTGATGATAGTTCAGATACCGATACACAGACGACCACTTTTTGAAGGATGCGCTGCAGATTTTGATTTTTTATACCCTTGTCCAACGTTGCTGTTTTCACCCCCACTCTTTAGGCATCAAATGTCCTCGTAGACCCTCGCCCCTCGGTCGCTCCTCATTTTCGAGTCGTTATGCAATTTTTCCATCTCCTTCTAGCGTATTCTTCTTTTTAGGCAACACCAAGAAGCTCCACCCATTCCCAAAGACTTTTTTTGCCAAGGAAGGCAGATGGCGCTCTTTCCCTTGAGAAAAAAGCATTTTTGTAAATCGCTGTTAGAGGGAAAGTGAGTGACCTCTCGGCAGTGGCTGCGTATTTCTCACATTCTTTTCTCTAATGCGCACATCTTTGCCTCTCTTCGTTTGGACCGCCATTTTCGCAGCCACGCTTCTTGCTCCTCAGGTATGTTGTAACCAACAACCGTCGCGAGGCAGTGCATTAGACGTGGTTGTACGATGCTTTTCACAGTGCTCCTTCCGCCCGGTTAAGCTGCGGCATTTGCTTCCTCGTTTTCATACGCGATGGAGCTTCAAATATAAGGCATGTAATCCTCAAGCTAGAGAAATTAAGTCGCATACCTCATACGTCTTCCTCTTCGCGGAGAATACTGGCGCGAACGTCAGATGATGGGTGAAACCCATCAGCGGGAGTTGCAAAGCTGATAGTCCCGATAGGCGGTCTGAAGTGTTTACCCGCTTGCGCTCAACCGCTAAATTTCAAAAAAAAAATAATGGTGGACTGTGGGAGGAGCGTACCGGTGGAAGAAAGTATCTCGTGGCACTGACACTGCCTTCCACCCATCCCGACTGCCGGCTGTTCTGCGCACTGCCTGAAAATTACGATTTGAGGCTTGTCCCGTAAGAAAAGAGACCGTGTTTCAGTAGTGAAGATGGAACTTAATACAAAACGTTTGCGTTGCTGAACACCCTCTAGAGACTAGTTACCCTGACAAGTAGAATCCTTTTCAATGCGTTAATGGGGGACGCAGGTCCGCAGCCGCATGTGGTACGCCTGTCTAACCTTCAAAAGTGCGTGGGCACTGATTGCACTCCATATCCCGGTGATAGGGAGGGTTGGTCTATAAATGTGGCAGCGGTTACGCTTTTGGTGAAATATAACTAAATGTGGTCATTGTATGTCCAGCACAAGACGAAGTGACTGTTATCTTATATGGAAAGATCGCACACAGAACTCGGATTTTG